TTGCCCCTGAGCATGCCGTTCCCTGCTGGCCCCTCCTGGATGTGTGCCAGAATAATTTTCTCGAACAGCTTGCCCAGGATCGAGGTAAGGCTGACTGGCCTGTAGTTCCCCGGGTCCTCTTTCCTCCCCTTTTTGAAGATGGGAACCACGTTGGCCCTCTTCCAGTCCTCCGGCACCTCTCCAGAGCACCACGAGTGTTCATAAAGCCTTGCCAGGGGACTTGCAATGCCCCCTACGAGTTTCTTTAGGACTCTAGGGTGAAGATCATATTTAAAAAGGGAATTGGTCATTTAAAGAGACTGTCACTTAACCAGCCAGTTAATAAGACAAGTTACCTGAAACTGAATGAGTTTTCTCTTTCTATCAGTGAGTGACTTTTCCATAAAAGAGATAACCATCTTCAACTGAACTAGAAGATCAGGTAGTCTAAAGCTGATAGAGACTTCTCTAAACATATAAATAGCAGTTTTAATCGTGAGCATCTCTGCTCTGTAGATGACACTATGATTTGTTTAGCATATGGACATTAATTTCTCTTGACTTGCTTTCTGATCACTCTGTCCTCTTCCTACTGGTTTTGATTCACTCCTCTTACTGTTAAGCAATATAAAGCTACCAAGCCTTTCAAAGTCTGAAATCCTCTTCATGGACTTTTAACTTTTGTTTTCCAGATCAGAAATCTGAGACAAATTTTCTTCTTTGTTTCATTTATCTGTATGCCTGCTTATCTCTGGAAGAATTTCCCAAATGCACCCCTAAGTGGGCACTGACTGGACTGGATTGCACTGTAATTTTAGCCATGTCTTTATTACTTTATTTTTCTTAATGAAGTTCATTCTTTACATTGTTCCTAAATCCCTCAGCTTTAGAGGAACCATGGTGCTGCTGACAGTCTTCCTTCTCCCCCACCCCCAACTCCCAGATCGGAAGATGGTGCAGAGGCACATTTACTGGTTTCCTATTAACCCCAAGACTAATGGCCCTCCTGCTTTTCAGAACTCTGGAATCATTCCATCCTGCCTTTTTGACCTCATTTGCACTTACGCCCAAAACACTCTCTACTTCCCCAGTATTGGTTTGTCTCTATTCCTTCCACACATCTGAAGGTGAAGGAGGTTAGGTCGCTCATTTGCTTCTGCCTACTTGACCTAGAACTCAATTCTCCTCTGGGCTCCAGTGAGTTATTCAGTTTCCGTTTCAGTGTGAAAATTTCTTTTTCGCTTTAAGCTTGTGACTGTCTCTGTCTAAAGTTCTTTGAGACAGTACATGAAGGACATGATAAAATAACTTACAAGTGTATTGTATCAGGCGACATTACCATACATTTTCTCTTGCAGTCTGCTGTAGGCAGAGATAGGTGTTAAGTTGTCATGATCTACAGGTTGCCAGTTATTGCAACTTATGTCTTTTTATTAATGCTTTCATTACTCATTGTAGATTCACTTATCTAATTCCCCTCTTACGTATAAATAATATGTATGATTGTATGCAAATAAATAGTTGGATGTTGATAACAAACCAATTTATACCAAAGGCCAGCTGGGCTACTACTATCCTCACACAAGCAGTTAATATTTTTGGAATTGCAATTGTGTCTTCTTATGTGTCTGGATCTCTTCCAAGGTTATCTTGCTAGATTTAATCATTTGATTTACACAGACACTGGTGACTTGGGATGGTGATAAACTAGTGTGTATCCAGAAAGGAGAGAAGAACAACAGAGGCTGGAAACACTGGATTGAAGGAGACAAACTGCATCTGGTAAGAGCAGATTTCAAGGGGGGTAAGCACCTCAATGAAACTGCAACATAATGAAGTACTATAGTTTTGAGATGTACACACACTTACAATAGTTTTTACTCAGACAACTCTAATCCCTAAATTTTAGAAACTCCTGTAAGAGGGAACCCCTTCCCTTGTTACTTGGAGCAAATGGAGCTCATAAGGAAGGAGCTGTGCTATTTGTATCTGCTGCCAATTACGTTGCAGGGTTCAGCCTGCAAACTGCAGACAACAAAACATGTGGCTGCTGAATAGGGGATTAGCAGCTCTTGGGCCCTAGTAACAACAAGCCAGGTCAGGTAACCAGGAGGGGAAAGAGCAAGGGCCATATAAGCCTGAGCCTGGAGTTCAAGATTCAGACCCTCACTGTGGAATGAGCTGTGCAGGTGCGCTATATATTAGGCCTGTGCGAGTAGGCAGCTATTCAATCCGGCTTCGGATCCGGCCGGCTTGGATGCCAGTGATCGGATCCAGAGCTCCAGACCAGGTTCCTGCTTTGATCTGGCTGAAGCGGCTCCAAAGCTTCGGAGCCACCTCAGAGATCCGGCCATAGGGTATAATGGAGAATCAATCAAATATCTGTAACTTGGTTATTTTTGGCTGATTTGGATGAAACTTGTAGGCGTGGTAGCATCTGCTGAGAGCATGAAGTCTGTTAAGGTTCAAGAAGATTGGTGCAGGGGTTTGGGGGGAACTGTACCCCAAATTCTTGAAAGCAAAACTCATGTCAAGTGTGTGTGTTACACCACGGGGGGGTGAAAACTGCAGAGGTTGTGGCCCCTGCTGAGGCCACAAAGCCTGCTAAGTTTCAAGAAGATTGGTGCAGGGATTTGGGGGAAACTGCACCCCAAATTCTTAAAAGCAAAACTTATGTCATGTGTATATGTTAAGCCACAGTGGGGTCAAAACTGCAGGGGTAGTGGCCCCTGCTCAGGCCACATAGCTTGCCAAGTGTCAAAGAGACAAGTGCAGGGGTTTGAGGGAAACTGCACCTCAAACTGCAGACAAGCAAAAGTCGTGACATGGGTGACACTGTATGTGTTAAGGCGCAGCAGCATGAAAGCTGCAGGGATGGTAGCCTCTGCTGCAGCCACAAAACCTGCCAGCTGTCAAGGAGATGGGTGCAGGGGTTCTGGGGCAGGCAAAACTTGTGACATGAGTGCTTATGCAACTGTGTCTGTCTTGGGGCATGGGGGGGAGG